TTACTAGATTTTATTTAATATGAAGGAAAGAGCAACAAAGTCAGAACTTTAGTTCAGTGCATCAAACTAGAAAATAAATATTAGTGAATTTCACATTTCAGAACTGAAAGTGTACACTTCTAACAAAATCAAGTATTCTCTAAATAAAAAGAAAAACTAGTGTGCTTTTATTGGTAATTTGGAATTAACAAATTGCTTTTTTGTTTATTTTCTTTTTGGTTTGTTGGGGTTTGGGGCCATACCTGGCAGAGTTCAGGGTTTACTCATGGTTCTTATTCATGGATCACTCCTGGCGGACTTAGGTGGGGTGGGGAGGTGAGGAGAGGGGGCAAATGGGGGAGGAGAGCAGAATATGGAATTCTGGGGGTTGAACTGGATTGATTAAAGATCTCAATATAAGATCTGAACCCATAAGTTATACTGAGAAAGTCATTGGCAGAATCTTCAAAGACTCATTACCATTGGCCTTGCAAAAAGAAGCAAAGAACAAATGGGATTACATAAAATTAAGAAGCTACTGTGCCTCAAAGGAATGATGACCAAAATAAAAAGACACCCCGCATACTGGAAAAATATATTTGCCCATAACTCATCCAATAAATGGTTAATATTCAAGATGTGCACTGGTAGAACTTTACAAAAAAAGAACATCCAAAGCCATCAAAAAATGGGGTAAAGAGATAAACAGAAACATCCTCAAGGAAGATATGCAACTGGCCAAACTGGAAATGAAAAAAGGCTTTGCATCACTTATGATCACGGGATTGCAAAGCAAGCAACAGTGAGATATATCACACCAGTGAGACTGGCACACATCAAAAGGTAAAGGTAAAGGCCCTCCCGTTGATCGTCGATTTGCTCGAGCGGGCCCAGTAACGTCTCCATTGGAGACTTTGTTGTTACTGTGTCAGGCATACCGAATACTCTCGGTAGCTTGCCGGGCTCTCCGAGAGGGGCGGAGGAATCGAACTCGGGTCGGCCATGTTGGCCGCTTGTAAGGCGAACGCCCTACCTGCTGTGCTATCGCTCCAGCCCGCTTCGGCAGCACATATACTAAAATTGGAACGATACAGAGAAGATTAGCATGGCCCCTGCGCAAGAAAAAAGATAAAATAATTATTTTCAATTATGCCACATTCTAGAAAATGTCAAAAAAATAACCCTCTTATTATGTTTTGTGGACATCAGAAAAAAACTCTTTGATCCCTAAATGAGTTAATCCAAGATAAATACACATAATTCCTATATTTTTTCATGAATAATAGCAATTAATTATCAAGAAGAAAAGTAAAGTCATAAAAGGCATGAAATCTTACTTTCTCATCATCTTCAGTAAATGGTGCACCTTCAGGAATCTTATTTATTGCTTGGGCCACGCCGATAATTTCACCATCACTACTGCGGATAGGCATGCACAACAGGGATTTTGTCTTGTATCCAGTTAACTTGTCAATTTCATCATTGAATCTTCGGTCCTTAAAAAAAAAAAGACAAAACATCAACCACATATGCATCATGGTTTCTATATATGTCACTGAGAATTTTATAGACATGAATATTTTAATAATCACAACAGATTTAATTTTACCTTGAGCTACACAGAAAAAAATATTATTTAAAAAAATCATTAACTCTACAACTTCCATCACTTTATCACTTAATCACTTAACTTCCCGTTAGTCGTCAATTTGTTTGAGCGGGCGCCAGTAACGTCTCCATTTGTCCCTGTCGCGTGCTAGTGTAGCCCAATGGCATCTGTTCGCTCCGGGAACATGAAGAGCCTCAAACTGATCGTTCATGATCTTGACGAAGAAGTCTGACCATCTGGTACGTGGGCGGCCACGCAGTCTTTTGACATCCCGTGGAATCCAGTCGGTAACAGCTCTAGTCCAGCGGTCGTCTTTAAATCTCATTACGTGACCAGCCCATCTGATTTTTGACACCTTGGCAAATGAGACAGCGTCCCTGATTCTTGATCGTCGATGGATGTCAGAACTCCGGATTTTTTCTCTCATTTGAGTGAAACGTTATATTCCAAGCATAGCGCTTTCTATTCTTCTTTGGGAGACCTGAATAGCGTTCTCATCCTGTTTGCGTAGGGCCCAGGTCTCTGAGGCATATATTAATGCAGGAAGAACAGTGGAATCAAAGAGATGTGCCCGGAGCCGGAGGTTCTTCATCCTCTTAGCTATTTCTTCAACGTTCTTGAAGGCGTTCCAAGCTGCTCTCTTCCTCCTGCGCAGCTTGGGTGCCAGGTCATTTGTCATGTTGACTTCTCGACCTAGGTACACATAGCTGTTGCATTCAGAGATGGTCGTTCCGTTGAGAGCGAATGGGGCATCAGGAACAAGGCTGTTTCTCATAAACATTGTCTTCGTAAGATTCAGCTGTAGTCCTACCTTTCCATACTCACGGTCAAAGTCGGCCAGCATTTGTGCTGCTTGGCTGATGTTTGGTGTTATTAAAACAATGTCATCAGCAAAACGGAGGTGGTGTAGTTGCCAACCATCTATCTTCACTCCCATTCCTTCCCATTCCAGTCGTCGCATGATGTTCTTGAGGGTGGCACTGAAGAGTTTCGGTGAAATGGTATCACCCTGCCGAACTCCTCTCTTGACATCAACGATTACTTCTTTGTAGAATGGTGAGATCCTGGTAGTGAATCCACAATACAGCTCACGGAGGATCTTGATGTATTGGGCTTGAATGCCCTGATTGGCTAGGGCTTCAATGACCGCTTCCATCTCAACAGAATTAAAGGCCTTCTTTAAATCAATGAACGTTAAACATAGCGGCATCTTGAACTCCCGAGAAACCTCAATGAGTTTGGTTATTGTGTGGATATGGTCGATGGTGCTGAATCCTTTGCAGAACCCGGCTTGCTCGCATGGTTGTCCTTCATCTAGTGTTCTGCCAATCCTATTTAGGATGACTCGAGTGAACAACTTGTAGATGACAGACAATAGGCAGATCGGGTGATAGTTGCCAATGTCATGGATGTCTCCCTTCTTGAACACTATTACGGTCCTGCTGGTTTTCCATTGGGACAGAACCTTGCATTCAGACAGGTAGCGAGTGAAGATCCGAGCCAGTGTATTGATGAGTACTGATGGCAGGTTCTTCAGGTGTTCAGGTCTGACCTTGTCTGGGCCGGGTGCTGTTTGTTTCTTTACTGACGAAATGGCGTGTCGGATTTCAGAAGGGAGAACATTGGGAACGACATATCCATCCTGTGGAATTTGGTATGTCGGCAAGTGGACATGGCTATCAAAGAGATTTGAGTAGAAGTCATGGATAATCTTCTCCATTACCATTCTGGAGGATGTGATGGATCCATCAGGACATCGGAGGGCAGTCATCTTGGTCTTGTAGTTGGCGAAGGACAGGCGGGCGTAACGAATACTTTTCCCAGCTTCTGCCGCATCTACTAGTACTTATGCTCTTCTCTCTATGAGGTCTTCCTTGATTGCATCTCTGCACTGCTTTGCGAGCTCAGACATTAGCTTGTGGTTGCCTGAGGCGTGCGCCAAACCACACTGGCGAATTAGCTCAAGAGTTTTCAAAGACAGGTGTTTTTTTGTGGCTATCTCTCTCTTGGCGTTCCTCGCACATTCATGGAGGTGCTGAACCAGTCAATCGTATTCCTCGTCAATGTTGTCAACAATGGCATCTTCCCATGTTGCCGCAATAGTGCCAAAGAGTTCCCAGTTGGTGGTCGTTCTGGGAGTTCTCTTTTTGAACTTTGCAGCCCTTTCTCCCTGCTCTGTGAAGTAGAATTTTGCACGAAGGAGACGGTGGTCCGATCCCGTTCGAAATTTTGGGACAACAGCGACATCAGTCAGGCAAAACCGTCGATTGAATATGATGTGGTCTATTTCGTTGTGGAATCGTCCACCGGGAGACTCCCATGTCCAACGTTTAGATTCTGCCTTCTGGAACTGTGAGTTACCATGGATGGTCTTGGTCGACATGATGAACTCAGACAGTCTCTCACCCTGTTCATTCCATTCTAGGCCATGGATCCCGATGTGAAGTTCTTCAGCTGATATTCTAGGTCCTATCCTGGCATTAAAATCACCCACAATGATCTTGTAGAAGGTGGTCTTTATAGAACTTCTCCAGCTCCATGTAGAACTTCTCGATTTCTCTTTCATCATAATGAGATGTTGGTGCGTAGACAACGGAGATAGAAACTGCAGGCAGTGAGTCACATCTATTCAAATGTAAACGTCCGATTCGGGTTGTAGGCATTTGAATGAATCAAGTTCTTGGCCAAGTTTGTGTTGACAAGGACACCGACGCCTCCAACACCTCTTTTATCGCATGTTCCGAGGAACAATTCTTCTCCAGTGTCGAAAACGGCATGGTGAGATTCGTGCCTTCTTGTCTCGGTCAGACCAATGATGTCGTACTTGATCATTTGCGCTTGTACCATCAGGTCCTCGATGGATGTGTCTGATGCTAGCGTATGTGCATTGAAAGTACAGACGATCATTTTTGTCTTCCTTCGTTGTGGCAGCCTAGTTCGACCTTGAGATTTTGTCGGCCTCTCCTTTCTCATCCTTCTCAGTGCTGCCATGTCGGTGAAGCCTTCAGGGTCAGGTGAATGAGACCAGTTGTAGTTACTGGTTTTGGCATATAGAATACACAACGGATAGCTTGCCAGGCTCTTCTGTGCGGGCAGAATACTCTCGGTAGCTTGCCAGCCTTTCCGAGAGGGATAGAGGCTTTTGGGGCGACCTCTAATCACCCTTGTAGGTGTTATCATATTTGAACCCTATCAAATATGGTACGACAATTCCAGAAGATGGGTATTTAGTGTCTTATGATGTGTCGCGTGGCCGCAAAGTGGCCGCGTGGGTCCGGAAAGCGTCCTGGAGTGTGGCGACGGCTGTGTAGTGGGTAGTGGAGGTAGGCTGCGGCAGGGACCTCCCCTTTAACGGCGCGGCTCGTGCTCCGTGGCCCCCGCGGCAGCTGCTGCTGCAGCTGCTACTGCGGCGCCTGCTCCTGCCGCTGCCGCCGCCTGGCCTCGGCAGCTGCATCCCCTCCCGGCCCCACCATGGTGTCCTGGATCATCTCCCGCCTGGTGGTGCTCGTCTTTGGCACCCTCTACCCAGCCTATTCTTCCTACAAGGCCGTGAAGACCAAAAACGTGAAGGAATATGTGAAACGGATGATGTACTGGATTGTCTTTGCCTTCTTCACCATGGCCGAGACCCTCACAGACATCGTGCTCTCCTGGTTCCCCTTCTACTTCAAGCTGAAGATCGTCTTTGTGATCTGGCTGCTGTCGCCCTACACCAAGGGCTCCAGCGTGCTGTACTGCAAGTTCGTGCATCCGACTCTGTCCAACAAGGAGAAGGAGATTGACGAGTACATCACCCAGGCCAGAGACTGGAGCTACGAGACCATGATGAGAGTGGGCAAGAGGGGACTGAACAACTTCCATAGTAATAAATTTTTCATGGTAATAAAAGAGAGAACAACCCCTGCCCCTCCACCCTCGCACCACACACACACAGAGAGACACACAAAGGCCCTGCCATCTTTTATATAGGGACCCCACCCAGCAGTACTGGCATTTTAATGTTATACTATTATTTAAATGTTAAATATTAATGTTAAAGTATTATTTTTAAAAATCATTAACCCTGTAACTTCCATAGTAACAATTTTTCATAGTAATAAAGAGAGAACGTCCCCTGCCTCCCCCCCCCACACACACACACAAAGGCACTGACTTCTTTTATATAGGAATCCCACCCAGCAATACTGGCATTTTAATGTTATTCACTGGTACCCTTACTGGGCCCAGAGTGCTTAAGGGTCACCATGGCCTCACTCAGTTGTTCTTGGGGAGCCAAAAGATACCAGGGATTGAAACCTGGGCCTTGATCACGCCAGGCATATGCCTTAGCACCTGAGCTCTGTCCCTAGTCCAAAGGGACAGAGTTTTTAAAGAAACTAAGCACTGTAGCTGGCTCCCTGCTGGCTTTCCCGTGAGATCTGTATTATGTCCCATATCATAAGGACAGGTGCTCTGAAACCGTCTATGTCTTCTGGGGATTAATGCATGCCACTCCAAATCTTTGGTTAAAGAGGGGAAAACACTGAAGGAGAGAGAAAAATCAAATCTAAATTAAACAAATCTCCTGCTCAGAATGAACTTGCCAGCAAATGTTCAACAGAAAAAACAAACAAAAAAGCACCAAAAAAACCCATCAGCGGCCAAGACTCAGAGACTATAAAATGCAGATCCCGGACGAGAACGCTGCAGTCTTTTGCCCCCGCGCCTGGGTGTCCCTCGCCGGGACCCCTTGGAGGGGAGCGGGTTGAGCTTTCCTCCCCGCCCCGACCAGGGCTACGGCAGCCGAAGACCTCCAGGACCAGCCACCACCATGCTGAGACCACTCTCCGCACACATGAAGGTACTGGCAGAGGGACAAAGCCACGCGGGTTCCGGGGCCGAGACCTCCAAGCCTACTCGAATTGGAGTCGAGCATCTTCCACCCAGGGAGGCCCAATTTGGCAGGGCCTCCAAATTCCAGTAGGCGGGGGTCACACCCACCACCTGGCCCCCTGGCGCCGTGTAATCCCATCAGCGGCCAAGACTCAGAGACTATAAAATCCAGATCCCGGAACCGCGCGGCCGCATTTGCGGCCGCGCGACATCTTATTATCTCATTCCTACTTTGGAGAAACTTGCAGGCTATGGAATGTAGCCTGCCCACAGGGCAGAGTCTGGCAAACTCCCCGTGGCCTACCAAATATGCCAAATACCAGTAAAAAAAACCACTAATTAGTATTTATTCCTTAAAAAATTCATGGAGAAGGGGTCAGAACTATAGTTTAGAAGATAGGTTGCTTCCCTCGCATGTGACCAAATGGAGTTCTATTCCTGGCATGCCAAAATGCACCCAAAACACCATCAGGAGACATCCCTGAGTGCAGAGGCAGGAATAATTCCTGAGCATTGTTGGGTGCAACAACAACCAATAAATTATGAAGAAATCACATTGTGTTGGATTGTAGGTTAGAAGTGAGATAGAGAGAGAGAGAGAGAGAGAGAGAGAGAGAGAGAGAGAGATGGCTTCCATAGAGGCAGACTGGAGGCAGACTGGGGAGACGGGGGTAGAGGGCAGAAGGGAAACTGGGGACACTGGTGGTGGGAAATGTACACTAGTAAAAGGAATGGTGTTGTAATATTATATGACTGAAACCCGATCATGAACAACTTTGTAATTTTGTATCTCACGGTGATTCAATCTTTTAAAAAAGGATTAAAGATAAATAACAACTCAGGATTGGCACAGGTATAGAGTAAAAGGATAAAAAACGATTATAAAAGCCAATGGAAAACAAAAATAAATGCTGGGGGCAGCCATACTTATATCAGACCAATTGTCTTCAATCTAAAGAAAGTAATCAGAGACAGAGATGGATACTACTTATTGATCGAGGGAACAATAGACCAAGAAATACTAACTCTAATCAGCATATATGCATTAAATGTGGAATCAGCAAAGTTTGTAAGATTCACAAACATAGAGAAACACATAGATGAAAACATAGTAGTAGTGGGAGACTTCAATACCACACTGTCACCTCTGCATAGATCTATTTGACACAATATCAGTAAAGACACAAGATCCCTAAAAGAGGAGCTAGAAGAGCTGTGGCTAATGAATTTATACAGGGTCTTCCAGCCTCAAAAAAGCTGAATACACTTTTTTCTCTAGTTCACATGGAACATTCTCTAGGACATAAATCAAACTCACATAAATTCACAAACATAAGAATCATACCAAGCATCCCATTAGAACATAATGCCATGGAGATAAAAATTATAAAAAGAAGATGGGGAGAAACTGTAACACCTGGAGACTGAACAACATGCTGCTACAAATCAGCTGGATCAAATAGGAAATCAAGGAAGGAATAAAAAGATTCCTTGAGACTAATAATAATGAATAAACAAGTTACCAAAATCTATGGGACACAGCACAAACAGTACTTAGAGAGAGACTCATAACAATACATATACATACATAAGGCATATACAATATAGGGAAAGAAGGAAAAGATAAAATCAACAACCTATTTGCACACATTAAGTGTTTGGAGAACCAACAATAAATGAAACCGAAGACTAGTAGAAGACAAGAAATAATAAAAACCAGAGCATAAATCAACAATGTAGAAACAAAGAAATCAAGAAAGCTGGTTCTTTGAAAGAAGAAACAAGATAGACAAACTGTTTCCCACTCACAGGAAAAAAGATGAAGTACTCAAATAAATCTGATCAGAAAATAAAGGAGAAAAATTACAATAGACCCCCCCCCCCCAGAAATCCAACACATCATGAAAACTTAGTATGAACAGATCTACTCTGCGAAGATGGAGAAAATAGAAGGGATAGATTCCTAGAAACATGAGTCCCCAGGGTCTCTCCCACCTTCATCCTGCTTCTTTAACAGGCACATTTTAAAGTTGGGTTGGATCTCCTGCTTTTAGTGTTATTGACTCTGCAGTTTGACTCTATAACGCTATCACTTCTCTTCACACCCAGTGTACCCTTGTCTCAGCTTCCTGTTACTCCCATCCATCTTGTCCTCTGGAGAGTATGCATTGTTGTTGTTGTTTCTTCTTTAAGATTGACTTATCAGGCAAAATACAGAAAAGTTAGACTTTTTTTCTTCCTCATTACCATATATTGGAGATGCACACAAATGCTCACTTCAACATCGAGGTAAAAAGAAAAAAATTAGAAAACATTTATTGTTGGTCAACAAGGAAGCAAATAATCACACCTAATTTTGTAATATACTATATCATAATTCCCTTTGTCTGCAGATATTAAGTTCTAAGACCACCAATGAGTATCTGGAACCATGAATAGCATCCAACTTGTGTATATACAATGTTTTCCCTATGCATAGAAAAATGTTATAAATTTATCCACTATTTCTATAACTCATTTACACCCACCTGATAAACATGTAACTTGAGGATTAAAAAATGATATTGAAGGATATGGCATTAACCTTTCAATTTAAGAACAGATTTATTTTTAAAAGCCTTAATACTTTTTTAAAAATTAATGCATCTTTAGTCATGATTTTTCAATGCCTTTGTTCTATTATATATAAAATAATTCTCACAAAATTTACTCAAAAATTTATAAAACCTATCTAAAGGGAAGTGAGAAGAGTTAATGAAAATGAATCCAAATTTGAGAATAACCACAAAAGTGAAGAAAACAAGAAAATATTAAATAATAATTAGATAATAAATATAACATATTACTCTGATGTCATAGAGGCAAGGAAAGTTTAGTGACAGAAGTTTAAAAAAAATCTAGAGATTTTACTAGCCAGTCAAGATGACAAAAAGTATAAAGGGAGATACGTGGCATTGTGAGAACAACACACAATGGGGTCCCAATCTAGTCCAAGGTCAGAAAAATATGCCCTCCCCACCAAAAAAAGAAACTTTCAAGCTGATATCTAAAGAATGAGTGATCCAAGAAGAAGGATTGGTATTTAAAACTCAAAGGCTACAGAAAATTGATGAATATGAGAGACTAAAGGAAACAAAAGATGATGCTCTAGGGAAAAGGCAGAGAGAAGACAGGAAAAACCAGAGAGAGAGAGAGAGAGATGAAAAGTGCTTGTCACAGAGGCAGGGAGGAGGGGGTGGGAGGGAAACTAGGGACACTGGTGGTGAGAAATGTTCACTGGTGAAGAGACAGGTGTTGGAACAGTATATGATTGAAACCCAATCATGAACAAACAACTTTGTAAGTGTGTATCTCACTATGTGTCAATTAAAAATTTAAAGTATTTTTTTAAAAAAATTTTAAAGAGGAAAGACCAGAGGGAGGCTGATAAAGGGAGACTGACCATATATAAAGCTGCAAGTTTATCATCTCAGGTAAATTTATCACCTAGAGGTACTAAAAGATTTTATGAGGATGAGTGGGAGTAATCTGATGGATCATTTATTTTTTAAAAAGTCACTCTTGCATGTGAATAATGTACTGGAAGAAAAGGGCCCAGACGAGAGATCTGGGTTTCTAATTTACTTTGCATGTGTCTAACCCTGGGGCCTGTATATGATCCCAGAGTATCACTACTGAGTACAGAACTAGGAATAATCCCTGAGCACTTCCAGGTGTGGCTCATCAAAAAATAATAATAATAACTCCAGATATCTGCATGAGTGGCACGGTGATTCACTGGGGAATAAACAAATTATGAGGTGGGGAATGCAAAGTTCCCTGGTGAACATTGTGTGGGCTAGGTTACTATGAGCCAACCTCATGGAGGCGATGTTCCCACAGTAGTCTGAGGTGGTAGGCTATAAATATTTTTTTAATTTCAAAACAATATGACTTGGAATATTGTTGGGCTGGAGCGATAGCACAGCGGTAGGGCGTTCGCCTTACAAGCGGCCAACATGGCCGAC